TCAGAATTTTAGTAACTTAAACAAATAGATTGCATATTTTGTTTATAGATTATCATTTATAACAATTAATTAGTGTCCGTGGAGCTCAAGGTATGGTATTAATAGCCAACATTATCGAAACATAGTTAACATTATTTTATTAATACTATAAAATAAAATCTACTAATAAATAGATTCCTCACATAAAAACCGCCCAAACCTTAAGCACGAAACCATTGAAAATATTTGGCAGTTCATGGGCTGCACCCGATTGGATGAAAACCGGTCCCAAAGAAGCCAAACCCAACCAATTGAAAGGGGAGACGGGCGGCCAGTACTATGACATTTGGGCTAATTATTACGTTAAGTATGTAAAGCATACAAGAAATGAAACTATAATTATGTTTGGATACTAAAAGGATTGTTGTATATAAGGTTTTTAGACATATATAAGGCCCAGAATATCACGATCTGGGGGCTGACCACTCAAAACGAGCCGACGTATGGTCGCGATTTCATACCGAACGACCTGTTCTTTGATCCCGAAATGCAAAGAGTGTTTGTCCGCAAAAACTTGGGACCACTTCTTCAGAAGTCTGGCTATACTCCCGACAAACTAAAACTCATGATATTTGACGACAACGTGTTTCACAACACCAGTGACCACCACACTCTGCAACAGTTCGCGGATACCATATTAGGGGACAAGGAGGCCGAGCAGTACGTGTCCGGCATTGCCTATCATTGGTACGAGAGCTCAAGGACTAGTGAATACCCGGACACCGTGTTGGATGAGGTGCACACCAAACACCCCAACCATTTCTTGCTCATGACTGAGGCCTGTCATCTGGAAGGGCTGGGCAATGGGCGCTGGGATTTTGGGGAACATTACGCGCACGATATCATAAGAGTTTGGTCTTTGACTAAAACTTTTGAATATGCATTTAATTTGTGTTTCTATAGGATTTGAATCACTGGACCACCGGTTGGGTGGATTGGAATATGGCGTTGGGTTTGAACGGCTGTCCCCGTTGTGGACCCAATCAGTTCGGAACGCCTATAGTGGTGGACATCGAGAAGGGGGAGGCCTACAAACAGCCCACTTTCTACACGATCGGACACTTCAGTAAGTTTTTGTCACCTGATTCCGTACGCATTGGCCATCAGTTGGAGAAAGCGTTGAATAATGTGTTTGTGTTGACAATGAAACGGACGGACAATGCGATAGTCGTTGTGGTCCTCAACCAAAATGAAAGTGAAGTTAATTTGCAAATCAATGAATCAAATACTCATTTGACTCATACTATACCGGCGCGATCTATACAGACATACATTTGGCAATAAATGAGAATTTTTAAAAATATAATTTGAAATACATATTAAATAACATAATCTAATACTGTATTATAACGTATACATTTATAATGTGTCCTTCGTGTTTTATGTGTAACACTCTAAAACATAAACACCATGTCAAGAGATTACAAATTGTTAATATAATTTGGTGAAATTAACAAAATAAAATAAGCTTAT